TGGTAAGTCTTGGTAGGTCTTTGTAAGTGAAAGTAATTCATGGGAAATCAAGGTAGAGTATGGTAGGCTGTGTTTACAGTAAACTACACCAGTTCAGAAAATAAAAAAAAAAAAACTAGAAGAAATGACAGAAAGTAACAGACACATAAGTCATGTTATTATTAGTGACAGACACACAACTCTTGTTATTAAGAGTGACAGGAACACAACTCTTGTTATTAAGAGTGACGGACACACGCACACACACACACACACACACACACACACACACACACACACACACACACACACACACACACACACACACACACACACACACACATCACATATGAAAGACCCCTTGGGGCCAGTGACCATGTGGTTTTAAGCTTCGAATACACAGTAGAGCTACAAGTGGAGGGAGAAGCAGGAAGGCCAGGACGAATGAAGCCAAACTACAAGAAAGGGGACTACACAGGAATGAGGAACTGCCTGAACGGGGTTCAGTGGGACAGAGAACTGGCAGGGAAGCCAGTTAATGAGATGATGGAATATGTAGCAACAAAATGCAAGGAGGCTGAGGAGAGGTTTGTACCCAAGGGTAACAGGAATAATGAAAAAGCCAGGATGAGCCCATGGTTTACCAAAGGTGCAGGGAGGCAAAAAACCAAGTGTGCTAGGGAATGGAAGAAATATAGAAGGCAAAGGACCCAGCAGAATAAGGACAACAATCGTAGAGCCAGAAACGAATATGCACAGATAAGAAGGGAGGCCCAAACACAATATGAAAATGACATAGCAGCGAAAGCCAAATCTGACCCGAAACTGTTGTACAGCCACATCAGGAGGAAAACAACAGTCAAGGACCAGGTAATCAGGCTAAGGAAGGAAGGAGGAGAGACAACAAGAAATGACCGTGAAGTATGTGAAGAACTCAACAAGAGATTCAAAGAAGTGTTCACAGAGGAGACAGAAGGGACTCCAGAAAGACGGAGAGGTGGGGCACACCACCAAGTGCTGGACACAGTGCACACAACCGAGGAAGAAGTGAAGAGGCTTCTGAGTGAGCTAGATACCTCAAAGGCAATGGGGCCAGATAACATCTCCCCATGGGTATTGAGAGAGGGAGCAGAGGCGCTATGTGTACCCCTAACAACAATATTCAATACATCTATCGAAACAGGGAGATTGCCTGAGGCATGGAAGACAGCAAATGTAGTCCCAATCTTTAAAAAAGGAGACAGACATGAAGCATTAAACTACAGACCAGTGTCACTGACATGTATAGTATGCAAAATCATGGAGAAGATTATCAGGAGAAAAGTGGTGGAACACCTAGAAAGGAACGATCTCATCAACAGCAGCCAACATGGTTTCAGGGACGGGAAATCCTGTGTCACAAACCTACTGGATTTTCTATGACATGGTGACAGCAGTAAGAAAAGAGAGAGAGGGGTGGGTGAATTGCATTTTCTTGGACTGCAAGAAGGCGTTTGACACAGTTCCACACAGAGTTTGGGGTGCAAAAATGGGGGGACCAAGCAGGATAACAGGGAAGGCACTACAATGGATCGGGGGAATACTTGTCGGGAAGAAGCAGGGTCATGGTACGTGGGGGAGGTGTCAGAGTGGGCACCTGTGACCAGCGGGGTCCCGCAGGGTCAGTCCTAGGCCCAGTGCTTTTTTCTGGTATTTGTGAACGACTGACGGAAGGAATAGACTTGAGGTGTCCTGTTTTCAGATGACGTGAAGTTGATGAGAAGATTCAATCGATCGAAGGACCAGGCAGAAATACAAAGGGATCTGGACAGGCTGCAGACCTGGTCCCGCAATTGGCTCCTGGAGTTCAAATCCCACCAAGTGCAAAGTCATGAAGATTGGGGAAGGGCATAGAAGGTCGCAGACGGAGTACAGTCTAGGGGGTCAGAGACTACAAACCTCACTCAAGGAAAAAGATCTTGGGGTGAGTATAACACCAGGCACATCTCCTGAAGCGCACATCAACCAATAACTGCTGCAGCATATGGGCGCCTAGCAAACCTCAGAACAGCATTCCGACATCTTAATAAGGAATCATTCAGGACCCTGTACACCGTGTACGTTAGGCCCATATTGGAGTATGCGGCACCAGTTTGGAACCCACACCTAGCCAAGCACGTGAAGAAACTAGAGAAAGTGCAAAGGTTTGCAACAAGACTAGTCCCAGAGCTAAGAGGTATGTCCTACGAGGAGAGGTTAAGGGAAATCAACCTGACGACACTGGAGGACAGGAGAGATAGGGGGGACATGATAACGACATACAAAATACTGAGAGGAATTGACAAGGTGGACAAAGACAGGATGTTCCAGAGATTGGACACAGTAACAAGGGGACACAGTTGGAAGCTGAAGACACAGATGAATCACAGGGATGTTAGGAAGTATTTCTTCAGCCACAGAGTAGTCAGTAAGTGGAATAGTTTGGGAAGCGATGTAGTGGAGGCAGGATCCATACATAGCTTTAAGCAGAGGTATGATAAAGCTCACGGTTCAGGGAGAGTGACCTAGTAGCGATCAGTGAAGAGGCGGGGCCAGGAGCTCGGACTCGACCCCCGCAACCTCAACTAGGTGAGTACAACTAGGTGAATCACACACACACACACACACACACATACACACACACACACACACACATACACACACACACACACACACACACACACACACACACACACACACACACACACACACAACACACACACACACACACACACACACTCCTGTAATCAAGGCAACAAACAATCGAAGCTACAACTCCACTTATAAATTAAAACCAAACAAAGGCGCAAAGCCTCTTTTGTGAATGTGGTTTATTGGACGGTGTACTAGGTTTCAATCCTATCGACTACACGACGGTTATGAAGCTATAAGTCACATGTACTCCCCCACCGTCTGTGTATATACGATGAGAGATATGTATCTTTCAGTGCATATACATAGTGAGAACGACACCTTTCTGTGTGTGTAAACTAAGCGATATACACCTCTCAGTGTATATACGATGAGGGATATACACGTCTGTGTGTGTATATATACAATGAGAGATACACACCACTCGGTGTGTAGTCCCCGAGAGATATTCACCACTCCGTGTATATACCAAAAGAAAGATACATACCTCTCTATGTATATACACTAAGATAAACACCCCTATGTGCATATGCATATATATATATATATATATATATATATAATATATATTATATATATATTATATATATTATATATATATATATATAATATATATATATATATATATATATATATATATACATGCAAGACAAGCTACAGGGAGTGGAAATTTTTAGCTCAAGTATTGTCACACTTCTCAGTGCGTCATCAGGAGCTATGCAATGTTTCAAGAGGGCAACTGAACCTGGGAGAGAGTTCTCAGAATAGCGTAGTGCGGATGTGTCACCGGCCACGGTTACCCTTAGAATGTGGTCATTGGTCGGTGCTAACCCCACCCTACCACCATCCCCCTACCCCCCCATATGGGGTAGGAGGGTTTCTGAGATATCAAGTATGAAATTATAAGTTATAATAGCCAGCCCCAAGCTTCTTCTAGTTGTTTGTAATAGGTCATGTGGTTTGAGAAAATACGTTTCTCGTTGGATACTATACACATAGATTGCTATTATTCTGTGTAACCTTTTTAAATAATAAAAGAAAGGAATAGAATGTGCTCTTTGTTTGTTTAAATGTCTTCCTCTGGGGTACTCGAATGTTTTGTCGAGACACTCAGAAGTATCTCTTCCTAAATATTGTTTACTACTTTTCAGTGTCGGTTAATATGCCTGATTTAGGAATCTTCTAAGCCTTTCCGATAATATTTCTTTGATCTAAATTTCTAATTTCTACTAATACCCTTTAACCTCTCCTTACTTTATCTCGTAATTTTGTGTGTTTGTCACTGTAGGGTATTCTGATAGCTAAGTGCGTTACATAACCATTCACAGCTGACGTGGTATGAAGTTTTGGTGCATAGACACTGGTCGGGCGTCACCAGTCCGTCAAACCACCTTGCATAATGAGCAATCCTGTGATTTTATATAGCACTGTTGTTTAATATTGTGTAAGATGGACTCCACTAAATAACTATCGAGCTTGTATAACCCATAATTTGAGTTATATACTGTGTTCCTTTCATGTTTCAAGAGGGAAGATTCAATTATGTTTCTTTCCATGACAGAACTGTTTGGTACTATAATTTGGGCAGCATCCCATTCTGGTGGGTGATTACATGAACTAACGTGGTTAAAGATAGCATTAGACTCCTGCCCTGTCCTGAGTATTTATGCTGGGGAGTTCTGGTTTCCAGAAATTTACCTGTTTGACCAATATATGAGAGAGGACACTGAGTACATGGGACCTTGTAAACCCACCCCACCAACTTTGTTGGAAGGTGTGTTTTTAATCATTCTTATAATTTCATACTTGACATCTCAGAAACCCTCCTACCCCATATGGGGAGTACGGGAATGGTGGTAGGGTGGGGTTGTTACCAACAATTCTAAGGGTAACCGTGGCCGGTGACACATCCGCACTACGCTACTCTGAGAACTCTCCCCCTGCTTTACTTGCTTTCTTGCAACATTGCATAGCTCCTGAGATAAAGATTTCCACCCCCCTTTGGCTTGTCTTGCATACTTAAGATCGCCCGTTTGAGATTGTTTGTATATATATATATATATTATATATATATATATATATATATATATATTATATATATATATATATATATATATATATATATATATATTATATATATATATATATATATATATATATATATATATATATTATACAAAGATAAACACCTCTATGTGTATATACACTAAGATAAACAACTCTGTGTGTATACACTAAGATAAACACCTTACTGTGTATATCACCCTAAGATAAACACCTCACTGTGTATATACCCTAAGATAAACAACTATATGTTTATGTACTGCCGTCGAAACTAGGTACTATTCGACTCACCCGTCAAATAGCGGCGTTTGCCTGAGCAGCGTCCTGGCAGTGTCGAGACGCTGGTGTAAGGACGCCCCGGGGTCAACCCTCAGGGCCAGAGGCACGCCCACGCCCACGCCCGCCACCGCCGCCAGCACCAGCACCACGCACACCCACACTTTCGTTCGCGAACCAAGCCCATCCTCTGCTGCGGAAAGAATTGGAAGAGGATACAAAAAAAAATCGTAGAAAACGGGGGAATTGAGCGCATTATAGGAAATGGGAAAATGACAAGAGGGTGGAAAAAATCGTAGAAAACGGAGAGGCGAACGGTGAAATAGAGAATGGATAATTGGGTTGTAAACTGAAATAGAAAACAGGGAACCGATTGGAGCAACTGAGATAGAAAATTGGCATGAGCCCTGAAATAGCAGATTGGAAGCTAGTACGAGTGGTGAGTTAGAAAATGGAAAACTGAGTTGAGAACTGAGTTAAAAGATGGGAAAGTGGGTTGAAAATCGAGATAGAAAACGGGAAACCGGGTTGAGAACCGAGATAGAAAATGGGAACTGGGTTGAGAACTGATATAGAAAATGGGAAACTTTGTTGAAAACCGAGATAGAAAATGGAAACCTAGATTGAGAACCGAGTTAGAAAATGGGAAACTGAGTTGAGAACTGAGTTAAAAGATGGGAAAGTGGGTTGAAAATTGAGATAGAAAACGGGAAACCGGGTTGAGAACCGAGATAGAAAATGGGAACTGGGTTGAGAGCTGATATAGAAAATGGGAAACTTTGTTGAAAACCGAGATAGAAAATGGAAACCTAGATTGAGAACCGAGTTAGAAAATGGGAAACTAGGTTGAGAACTGAGTTAGAAAATGGGAAAGTTATGTCTTGTGTTGAACCATTGTAGCTCTAACTGTTGTAAACCTTTAATCCCAAACTTTAAAAATAATGAAAAAAGTTGTATTCTGCAGCAGTGGAAATAAATGGTATAAAATACCGACACAATGGAAATATAAACACAAATGCAGTATAATATGATCCTTTATTGACAACGTTTCACCCACACAGTGGGCTTTTTCAAGTCACACACAGATCTACCTGGGGTGGAAGGTACGGGAGTATTTATAGTCAAGTTCAGAATGTTGAGGTCAGGTGGAGAATGCTGCATCTGATGATCTACCGGGTGGGGTTATAGAGTCTTGGGTAGCTTGGCAGGGGTAATGGACAAGTCTACAACTTGTCTACAACTCTACAAGTCTACAACTTGTCCAATACCCCTGCCAAGCTACCCAAGACTCTATAACCCCACCCGGTAGATCATCAGATGCAGCATTCTCCACCTGACCTCAACATTCTGAACATGACTATAAACACTCTCGTACCTTCCAACCCCAGGTAGATCCGTGTGTGACTTGAAAAAGCCCACTGTGTGGGTGAAACGTTGTCAATAAAGGATCATATTATACTGCATTTGTGTTTATATTTCCATTCTGCAGCAGTGTTGGGTTTTAACGTCACATTAAACAAATACAATTTGGCTCTGCAGGAAATTACAGAACAGTGATTAGTGGTACAAACGAACATTAATAGAAACAAAAGCATCTCTCAGCTGCACACACACAAAAAAAATCCTATTATGAAAAAGAGAAAAAAATATATTAGCACATTACATTTGACTCTCAAACTGAGATCTTCTTCAGAAAGTAATTTACTGGGTGGCAGAAATTTATACAGGAATCACGTCACAAGACATGAGGAAGGGTGGACTAAACGAGGCCTCAGGGACCAAGGAAGAAACAGCGCCAGATGACCACTGGCCGCTTGTGTTGCTGAAACCTACTTATGTTGCGATCACAACAAACACACTCGACGATTTTTGAGGCTGTCCTTAAAACTTACCATAAAACTTGCCTTAAAACGTGGTCATTTAGGCCCAGAGCACCTTGTATGGTGGACCTCACACTCGTCTATTGTAACGATTTTGGAGCGGACGGCAAGAAGGCGACTTTTTTTGCATTGGGGATAGATTCTTTGCTTCTTTTTGAGCTACACTTTACGTTGGTGGAGTGCACTCAAAACTCAGTTAGAATTAGGGAGAAGGGAATAGAATTGAGGCGTATAAATGGTAGACAGGAATAAATAACGGGGATATAAATAACGTGCTAAAAATATTTAATCAAGACAGGACTCGCAGCAATGGGTTTAAGTTGAAAAAAAATTGATTTATGAGATATTTGAAAGCACTGGTTTGGTATGAGAGTTGTGGGTGAGTGGAACAAACTCCCTAGTAGCGTCACTTAAGCTAAAAACTTTGTGTAGCTTTAAAAATAGGTTAGACAAGTATATGAGTGGGTTTAGGCGAATGTGAATGGGATTTACCTAGCTTGGGCCAGTAGGCTTGCTGCAGTGCTCCTCCTTTTCTATGTTCGAACTGTGCAAGATATATGATAAATAATTGAGAATCTTCCATATTTTCATTCAATTTTAATAATTATAATTGCTTGTATTTTTCTGTATTAATTACAAAAACTAAATATTTGTCAATCTCAAATAGAGGGGATTCTCAAAAAAAGTTGGCCTAGAGTTTCCATTACTGGCGCATTACCACCGTGATCAATATAATGAGGATAAATGTCAATGTGTTGCACTACAATTGAACCATCTCGTGAATATTAACCATATTTACAATGTTCAACTACTCCTGCATTTAAATTCCTCCCTGTTTGTCCAATTAGCGTGCATATATAACCAACACAGCGAAATTTATTTTTTCCTGTTACCAGTAGTTACGCATATACGTATTGTGTTGCGGTTGAAGGTACCAATTATGTTTCCAGCGGGGATTATAGTTTTTCATGTACTCACACATGTTGTTGCTGTTGTGGTAAAGGATTACGAATTTTTCTTCAGCTTACAATTAGCTAAAAAATTTTAACAGGGAGGTTCTACCGTCCTGACACAGGAGTGTAAAACTCTATCATGTCAGTATTAAGTGTTTAGTGGCAGACACAGTGAAAGTGAGAGGTAGGATGTGGTACAGAGAGAATGTTATCAGTGGGTAAGCGTCAAGGGAGAGTTAATAAATTAAAGGAGATGGTCAGAGTGAGATATAAATAGCTTTTAGGAAAAAGGTGAGCTAGAGGAGGAGGTTGAAGTGCAACAGGATAGATTTAAGAGTGCAGTGTTAGTGTGTGAAGTAGACGTTTGTGGGTATAGAAGGGTAAGTGTGGGTGGAAAGAGGAGCGAGTAGTGGAATGATTAAGCAAAGAGGGTGATAAGGGAGAAAAAGTGAGCAATATACGGAGGGTGGAGAATATAGAGAGCAGATGTAAGGTTAAAAGAGAGGTGATCGTGTGGATAAGGAGAGCCAGTGAGAGAGTGCGTGAGGCTTTATCAATAAAATTAGCTAAGAATAAGAAAAACTTTTGAAATCAGTGAGAAAACCTAGGGAACAGATGGATTTAGCAGTACAAACAAAAGAGGGGAGATGATATATGGGGAGGTGGAGGTACTGTGAAGATGGGGAGAATAATCTGAGGAGTTGTTAAATGTTGATGAAGAAAGTGAGACACTGATTTCGTGCATTGGGCAGGGATGAATAACATCTTGTAGGAGTGAGAAGACCCAGATGCGAGTGAGGGAGAGGTGCATGAGACAAGTGAGGGAAAAGCCCATAAAAAGGGGGGATTATGGTTATTCAAAAACCCAGGAACCATTAGTGTGTTACTGCCCGCACTACCATCTATCGGGCTGTGGCTAAGCTTCAGTTCCTCAGGTTTGAGTTGTTATAATTTTACTCCTGGTAGTATTAACCTTACCTGATGTGGGTTGAAGCTTGGAGAATCACTTCACCGCCACCATTCTTCTGATCAGGTAAGGTAATCTACCAGGAGTATTTCTATTGTGTTACCAGTAATGACTCTTTATTATTCATCAATGTTATACTTATTTAACCCTTATGTAACCAGTGTTGTTGTTTTTTATTACCAGTTCTGCTACTGAGCTGGTCAACCAGGGTAGACGCTAGTTAACTGGAGCAAGATCCCTGTTTACGGGACATAGTGGAACATTACGACTCCTCACCTCTGAAATCTGAATTATGTTGCTAAGACCAAGTAGTGACAGGAATTCCAGAACATAGGACGAACACCGCCACCCAGGATAACCAACACCATTTCTTCTACAACATCATCAGAAGACCATCCTGGACATTAGATTCTCCTGTCTCAACATCCTACTGGAATCACAGCGGCCAATTTTTATTTTATTTATTTTTAATTAAAATCTTCAGAAAATTATCATAATAATTACCCATCAAGTTATTCATTGTTTATTTTTCCATTCTTTTGTTCAGGCAGAAGGGGTTCCCCTGACAAGACATGGGTAGAATGAAAGGAGGTAAAACAACTGAGATAGAAGGTATCAAAAGCAGAAATGTTAAGAGGAGGTGGGAAATGGTTTTGGAAAGGTTGGTGAATTTGTTCGATATATGCATGAAAGAAGGGAGGGTAATTTGGCAATGACAGAGCATACATAGTTTCTTTGTATGTGGGAAAAGGGGACAGAAGAGAGTGTAAGAATTATTGGGGAAGAGGCCTGTTGATTATACCTGGTAAAGTGAATGATAAAATTACTATTAAAAGAATTTAAGGCAAGACAGAAAGTAGGATTGCAAAGGAACGAGGAGGTTTTAGGAAAAGTAAGGGGTATGTTGACAAAGTGTTTACATGAAGCATCTAAGCGAACACTACTTGGACAAAAATAAATCTCTTTATGTCATATTACTAGATTTAGAAATGCATATGACAGGGTTAATAAGGAAGCAACGTCTCAGATGGTGCAAATGTATAGAATAAGTGGTAGGTTACTAAACACAGAAAAGATTTTCGGCGGTGAATGAGACTCTGTTAGGACTAGAAGGAGAGATATTTTACATTACAGTAGGCCTTAGAAAGGGATGTGTGATGTCACCATAAGTGCTTAACACATTTATTAATGGGATTGTAAAAGAAGCGAATGCTTAGTGTGTCGAAGATAACAAATTTGATACAAAGTGAGAAATACCGCAGTTTCTCTTTGCTGCAGACACGATTCTTTTGGGAGGTTGTGATGAACTGTTGCAAAAAGATTAGTGGAGGAATTTGAGAGGGCATAATTAAAAAGATATTAAAAGTGAACATAGGAAAGAGGAAGATGATCA